AACTTATTTTATGACTTACTGGAGGAAAATATCTCAGGCTAGCTAGAAATCTGGATACCCAAATTCAAGAAGGACACAGAACTCCTCGGAGACACAATGCAAATAGGCAATCACCTCATCATGTAGTTATTAAGCTGACCAAAGTAAATGTGAAAGAAGCAATCCTCCGTACAGCAAGGCGTAAACAACAAATAACCTATAAAGGAAAGCCTATCAGACTAACTGCAGACTTCTTATATGAAACCTTACAAGCCAGGAGGGAGTGGGTGCCTATCCTTAATCTTCTAAAACAGAACAAAGCCCAACCTAGAATTCTTTATCCAGCAAAATTAAGTTTCATCTATGAGGGTGAAATAAAATCCTTCTCAGACAAGCAATCGCTGAAGGAATATGCAAAGACCAGACCAGCACTATAAGAAATGCTCAGACTTGCCTTCCACAGTGAACAGGGCAATAGATACTCCTAAAAATGAAATCCTCAAAGAATTAAAGTCTAGATCTCGAACTTCATCCTGGCTCAAGCTCTAAGTCAAAGCAACAGGACTTTACTCATCAATATGAATGGAAATCTTCCTCCAATTTCAATCCTCTCAATAAATATAAATGGTTTAAACTGTCCTCTGAAGAGACATAGGCTGGCAGAGTGGATAAAATTCCACAAGCCTAGTATTTGCTGTATACAGGAAACACACCTAAACCATAAAGATGCCTCCCGGCTGAAGATCAAGGAATGGGAAACTATCATCCAGGTAAACGGAAGTCAAAAGAAAGCAGGGGTTGCTATATTATTCGCAGACAATATTAGATTTAAATTTTAAAAAAGTAAAAAAGGATAAAGAAGACCACTTCATAATGGTGAAAGGGAAGATCCAACAAGAAGATCTAACAATTCTTAATATTTATGCTTATAATGCAGGAGCACCCAATTACATAAATCAAACCTTGTCTGAGCTAAATACCACTTTAAACAATACTGCCATAGTATCAGGGGGACTTCAATACACCACTAAAGGAACTGGATAGATCCTCCACACAGAAATTAAGTAAAGAAATTATGGACCTAAACAAAGCTAATGACCAAAAAGGTCTGACAGATCTATACAGAACATTTGACCCAAATAAACTTGAATTTACATTCTTCTCAGTAGCCCATGGATCCTTCTCAAAAATTGGTCACATACTAGGCCACAAGGCAGATCTCAAAAAATTCAAGAAAATAAATATAATACCTTGTGTCTTCTCTGACCATAGTGGTATAAAATTAGAGTTCAACTCTAACAGAAATACAGACCATATCACTAAGTGATGGAAACTAAACAATCTACTGTTGAATAACTATTGGGTCAAGGAAGAAATTCAGAGAGAAATCAAGAATTTCTTGGAACAAAACGACAAAGGAGCCACATCTTACCAAAACCTTTGGGATACAGCAAAAGCATATCTGAGAGGAAAACTAATACCAATAAATGCTCACATCCAAAAAACAGTAAGATTAGACACCAACCTAATGAATAGACTCAAGGAATTGGAAAAAGAAGAGCAAACCAATTCCAATCCTAGCAGAAGAAAAGAAATATCTAAGATCAGAGCTCAACTAAATGAAATGGAGAATAAGGGAATTATATGGAAGATCAACAAAACCAGAAGGTGGTTTTTCGAAAAGATCAACAAAATTGACAGCCCTCTGGCTAGGCTGACAAGAACTCAAAGGAAAAGGACTCTAATAATCTCAATAAGAAATGAAAAAGGAGAGATCACAACAGACTCCACAGAAGTACAAAACATTATGTTTGACTACTATAGAAATCCATATGCCCAAAAACTACAGAATGAAGATGAAATGGACAGATTCCTGGACTCACACAACTTTCCTAAGTTCACCCAGGAGGAAACTGAGTTCTTGAACAGACTGATCACAAGCTCAGAAATTGAAGCAGTATAAAAACCTTCCCAAAAAGAAACGTCCCAGGCCAGATGGCTACACTCCAGAGTTCTACCAAACATTGAAAGATGAACTCATATCTATACTACAGAAACTATTCCACACCATTGAGAAGGATGGTATTCTTCCTAACTAATTCTACGAAGCCAATATCACCTTGATACCAAAGCCAGGAAAGGATGCAACAAAAAAAGAAAATTACAGACCAATATCCCTCATGAATATAGATGCAAAAATCCTAAACAAAATTTTAGCAAATAGAATTCAGCAACACATCAAAAAAATAATCCACCATGATCAAGTGGGATTTATTCATGGCATGCAAGGCTGGTTCAACATACACAAGTCTATAAATGCAATCCACTTTATAAATAAAGTCAAGAACAAAGACCACATGATTCTGTCAATAGATGCAGAAAAAGCATTTGATAAAGTCCAACATACCTTCATGATAAAAACTCTTAACAAAATAGGGATAGATGGCCCATACCTTAAATTTATCAAATCCATTTATGACAAATCAATGACTAACATCATTCTAAATGAGGAAAAATTGAAATCATTCTCCCTTCAAATCAGAATTAGACAAGGATGCCCACTTTCTCCTCTCCTATTCAACATAGTGCTTGAAGTCCTAGCTATAGCAATCAGGCATGAGAGGGGTATTAAGGGCATCCAAGTCAGGGCAGATGAGATCAAACTCTCACTCTTTGCTGATGATATGATATTATATCTAGAAAACCCCATGGACTCATCCAAGAGACTCCTAGATTTGATAAATGAATTCGGTAAAGTTTCAGGGTATAAAATCATTATATACAAATCAAAAGCATTTATATATGCCAAGAACCATCAAGCAGAAATTCAAATAAAAAATGCAATACCCTTTACTATAGCCCCAAAGAAAAGTAAATGCCTAGAAGTATACTTAATGAGAGATACAAAATATTTATACAAGGAGAACTATGAAACACTAAAAAAAGAAATTGAAGATGATTTAAATAGATGGAAACATCTACCATGTTCATGGCTTGGTAGAATCAATATTGTTAAAATGTCAATATTACCTCAGGTGATCTACAGAATCAATGCAATCTCCATCAAAATACCACCAGCATTCTTTACAGATCTAGAAAAAATAATTCTTCACTTTGTATGGAACCAGAGAAAACCACATATAGCCAAAGCAATCTTAAGTAAAAAGAACAAACTGGAAGGGATCAGTCTTCCTGACTTCAAGCTGTACTATAAAGCAATAATAGTTAAATATGTCTGGTACTGGCACAAGAACAGAAACATCAATATCTGGAATAGATCTGAGATTGCAGAGATCAAACCATCTGTATACGGTAACCTAATCTTTGATAAAACAAACAAAAATATACTATGGGGAAAAAATTCTCTCTTCAATAAATGGTGCTGGGAAAACTGGTTAGCAACAGGCAGAAGACCAAATCAGGATCCCAACCTCTCACCTCTCACAAAAATTCACTCAAGATGGATAACAGACCTAAACCTAAGGCACGAAACTTTAAGAATCCTAGAAGAAGAGTTTGGGAAAACCCTTTCAGACATTGGCCTAGGCAAAGAATTCTTGAAGAAGACCCTCAAAGCAATCACTGCAGCAACAAAAATAAACAAATGGGACCTGATCACATTAAAAAGTTTCTGCACTGCCAAGGAAACGATCATTGGAGCAAATAGACAATCCACAGAATGGGAAAAAATATTTGCTCTCTACATTTCAGATAAAGGTCTAATAACAAGAATCTATCTAGAACTTAAGAGAATAAACAAGAAAAAATATTGAACAACCCAATCAAGAAACGGGCAATGGAAATGAACAGAAACTTCTCCAAAGAAGACAGAATAATGGCCTGCAAAGATATAAAAAATGTTCAACATCTCTAATAATTAGAGAAATACAAATCAAAACCACAATGAGATACCACCTAAGCCCAGTGAGAATGGCCTGTATCAAGAAATCCCAAAACAACAAATGCTGGCGATGATGCAGAGATACAGGAACACTCTTACACTGCTTGTGGGACTGCAAATTAGTGCAACTTTTGTGGAAAAGAATTTGGAAATACCTCAAACAACTAGAAATAGAAATACCATTTGACCCAGCAATAGCATTGTTGGGCATCTACTCAAAAGAACATAAGTCACTATATTATAAAGATATCTGCACCCGAATGTTCATGGCAGCACAATTCACTATTGCACGGTCACGGAAACTACCCAAGTGCCTGTCAATTCATGAGTGGATAACTAAAACGTGGTATATGCTGACAATGGAATATTACTCAATCCTAAGAAATGCTAGTGAGCTAGTACCATTTATGCTATCCTGGATTAAGCTTAAGACCGTAATACAAAGCGAGATGACACAAGACCTGGAAAATGGGCTACATATCTACCCGTCATCAAATTGGTACTAACAGCCTAAAACGATGGTGCTCATAAAATGGTAGTGCTCAACAGAGATTTGGTGGGGGGGGAGACTCACATCTTAGGGATGTGGTGAGCATTGTTGGGAGGAAGGGATTACCTCTATCCCTTTTTAGGGAGAGACAAAGATATACATTGTAACCAAAATGTCTAACAAAAATCTGTTATTGGGAGGTGGACAAGTGGAAGGTGGTAGAAGGGGAAGGGTATGCACTTACATGGTGGGCGCAGTGCACTTGGAGGCTGGGCATGCTAGAAGCTCTGGCATAGCAGCGTGGGGAGGGGGGACAGGGGAAAGATATGTAACCCTAACAATATTTGTACCCCCATAATATGAGGTAATGAAAGAAAGAAAGAAAGAAAGAAAGAAAGAAAGAAAGAAAGAAAGAAAGAAAGAAAGAAAGAAAGAAAGAAAGAAATCCATGTCTGTCTATTACAAATTTGGTGACTTTTTCCACACAATACCATCTCCTTAAGGTCTTCAAAATCATGAGAATAAATTCCACAGGCTACATTTTAGAAATATTCTCATTTTTATTTATAAACTATATGAGGGATTTTTCCATAAGTGACTGGATCAACAGATTTCTTGACACACACTTACCAGTTTGGATTGCTGGGCTCTTCATGCTGCTGGTGGCCACTTCTGGTGTTCCACTCTCAGCCTCTTCTCATAATCCTATTTTTAAGCTGCCAAAGAGAAAAAAAAAAAAGAAGAAAAGCAAAATGACACTTGCTTGATTCAAGAAGGATCTCCATATATTAATGACCACAACAATAATTAACATTTTCATAGCACCTGTTTTATAAAGTCATTAAAAAAATACAATAGGGATTAATTCAGCTTCTTTGATAGAAGATATTTTAGAGAACCAATTATATTATAAAAGAGAACATAGTAACCAACTCTCTGTTATATAGTTTATTAAAGGAAAATATTTATGCCAAAATAATTGTTTGCAAAAGCACAGAAAATGTCATTATAAATTCTACAGAATACTGATTCTAGTTCTTGCTTCCAAAATTTAACAAAAGATCATTTCATTGCTGAATGTTATAAGGATTTATTACTGCTAAAGAACTTGATGAAAGCATAGATTTTTATCACTATTGAAAGAATGGGGGAAAATACTAGATATTGAAATAAATGTTTAAGAATTGTAAACCCTATAACAAGAAACACTTATTTCTGATGTATCTTTTCAGCCAAATTTCTAAATAGCAATATATTTCAGAAATAGTTCTCCCAATTCCATTAAAGAGAGAGTTATTGGTTCTATCTACAGTCACCATTTGTCTCATATAAGTACCATACTGAAGCATTTCTTAACCATTGGAACTATGCCATTCACATATATATATATTATATATAAATATATAATATATATATACACACACACACATATACATGAAAAATGTATGTATATTATTATATACATTTTGGGAAGAAACTTAATAGGGTCACTTCTTAAACGTAATTTCGAATATCACAAAAATTATTATTATCTGCTTTCATGTATTATGTAATGCTATGAGGTTAATTTACATTTCCAAAGAATTGCTGTTATAATTGTGGTAGGTTAAAAAGTGGTTTCACTTAGATTCAATACCAAATCAAGAACTTTTAGCAACACAGGAAGTATGTAGTGTCTGTCCAATGGGTTAAGTTTGACTCCTTTCTTTTTTTATTTATTTTTTAATTTTTATTTCAGGATATTCTGAGGGTACAAACATTTTGTTTACATTTTAGGTCTTTGCCTCACCCAAGCAAGGATTAGAAGCATGTCCTTTCCCTCAACAATGCTCACCATGTCCATTAGTTGTGAGTTCACCTCCCGCCCCTCAATCCCTGGAGAATATTACTACCGTGTAAGCACCATAGTATTGATCCATCAGTGACAATTTGATGGCGAATATATGTGGAGCCTATCCTTCGATCTTGTGATACCACAGTTTGGATAATGGGCTCAATCTCTATCCAAGAAAATATAAGAGGTGGTCTAGATCACTGTCATTTCTTATTATTGAGTAGTATTCCATTGTATACGTATATCAGATTTTAATAATCCGCTCATGAATTGACGGGCACTTGGGTTGTTTCCACATCCTTGCTATATAGTGAATTGTGGTGAAGTCTGGCTCCTTTCTGAAGTAAGTTTGATAAGAGATGCCCGGTTTTTAATTTCTTCATTACTTCTGAGAGCCACATCACCATTTTCTCTGTCCAAATACTCAAATGATCTCTTCAACCAATTCTTTGAAAACAACCAGTTAAGTGGCTCCATAATATAAAGCATCTTAACTCTGATTATGTTTGAAAACCAATTATTCAGAGAAGCTTATGTTTTTTTTTAAGAGCAGATGGAAAGAAGCTCAGGGAATTCATAGCACAAGATGTAAATATGGAAATCGGTTTAGGTAAACGTCAGAGAGGAACAAAGAGAAAATTAAATTGTTTACAGAAATGTGTGTGTTGGGGATAGAAGATTTAAAATTAGGGGAGAAACTATTTCTAGAAGGAAGAATCCAAGAATTTTAATATTTTGGGTTAATGTTATTAATTATTAATTAATTTTAATATTTTGGGTTCTTACTGGAATAACTCACTACCTTCTAGCTGGTTTCTTAGATTTCGGCCTCTTTCTTATTCTACTTCTAAAATGCTTCTATGCATTCTATCCAATTTTCTTACTCTATTTTAATTTTAATTTTTTTTCTTTTTTTAGTATCTAAACACTTCCTTCAGGCCTTGATTCCCTTCTATAATTTATAATTTTAAAGAGGGTTGATGGATTTTCTTGGAGAAACCAAGGCCATCACCACTTCTCTGTTTCTATGACTCCCACTACCTCTTGCTTCTGTTCCTACATCAGTTTCTTAACTAAGTCACCTATCTCAACAACAGTCCTGCCTCCTTCTCATATGCCATTCCTTTTCCAATTTCAACAGACTCAGACTCAGTTCTCTAAACCATTACTAAATCTTCCCATTTCCTATGGAATATAGGGTTGGGGAGGGGGATGAAGCCCCATTTTATGGGCTCACCATCTTCAATTGTCTTTGATCTACCTTTTCAAACTCATTTCCTATGTGCAAATGCACAACTAAAAAGTGTATTGCAAACTGTAAAGATCTTCACAACTGTGAGTAAATTAATGCTGAGAATAAATCTGGTAAATAATTATCATTAGTATCCATATTTTGCAATGAGACAATTAAAATACAGTCATATTATAACTACCTTAAGCCTTTAGTTTACCCAATAAATAGTAAAACCAGGTTTTAGTCTTCTATCTTTTATCAACCCAAACTTATTTGACCTCCAAATTGTATGATTAGCCACTTCTTTAAATAATTTATTTTTCTTTTTCTAAATACAAACTTATATTTATAGTCAGAAAAAGATTCTTCTCAGTGTCTTTATTTCCAAATATTTATCATCTTCCAAGGCCCAGATCAAACGCTAACTCCCTTGTTAGCCAGAAATGTTCTTTCTCTCATTTCTATAACTGTTTATTAAACTTCTCTTACACCATTTTCTATCATCTGCAATTTCTTAAGTTACTTGTGTACCAACTATTTGCCTTGTTTATTTATAAGCATATACTGGGCTTGAGAGTATTGGCCCATCAGAGGTTATGAAGCCCAGTTATACATATTTTAAGGAAGATTTTCTACCACGCCCATGCTGCTCTGTTCCAAAAGAACTTTATCAACTGGTGGTAACTACCTAAATTACAGACACCTTATGTAAGAAGAATTAACCAGCCTCAAATATTGGATTTGCATTTCAAAACCTAAAAGGTGGGAAGCATCCAAATCCCATTTTGGCTATGTAAGTTTAGGATAGATAGATTCATTTAATATAATATAAAGTAACTTTTGTTAGAATTAAGATGGTTTCTCCTTAAATCTATTATCATTATTTGCCTAGATCTCCACTACTGCAGAAAATCTTACTGATACTCCTATCTCCAAAGCAATGGACTGTCAGCTGATAAAATGTTTTTTGTGTACTGCAGGCATTTTGGAAATAGCTCTCGGATCAAACTAAATGAGTTCCAGTATAAATAAAGAACCTGAGACACTGCAGAGAGCACTCCGCAAGATATGGGTGTGACAGCTAGAAAGATGTGGTGTAACCCTTTGCAACTGATGTTTTGTATGGAGTACAGGGGCTAATAAAATGACTTCCATCATGGAACTTGTGTGCTCAATGAAACCTGTATTAAACCTGAATATGAGGTTTGACTGCTGCTTTAGTGAAAGGGGGAAAAAAGAGATAAAACAAACTGTAACTAGATTGGTAGCGTGAGTAATATTCAGCCCTAAAATAACTGTTAAATATGTACTTTCTAATCAAAGTGAGAAGTGAAAGAATATTTATATTATACATGTTGTCTTGCTGTGGCGTTATTTCAAATACAACGAAACATGACTGACTTTATTTGTTATAACCACACCCCCCACAGCACATTTTACAGTTCAGTTCATTTTCTAACACTTTCAAAGCTGTAGTTCATTAAATTCCACTTGTTTCATACAAGCTACTGTTAACCTAGAAGAATTGGGAGGCAAGGGGTTATTTTAAACAGGTTATATTTCCTTCCTGTAGATCAATGCAGGCAGCCTCCTAAAGAACTGTATTTTTTCATTGCTGTAGGAAAAGATGCAGATTATTGTAAATTAAGTGGAGAGGAAGAAAAACCATTTTAAGATAACAAGCTAAGCTCTATCTACACCCTGGGTATTTAACCAGGGGCTCTAATGTCAGCAGTGGCTTCTAATAGCATGGTCTTTCCTATAAAATACTTTTCACCTGAGTGAAGTGAGTAAGAATTGCTGAATGAGGTTTAATTGTCATTCGTTTGAGTAGAGCTTAGTGACACAAATAATTACACAATCTTCAAGTCGTAAGTGACGTAGGTTGTCTAGTCTATCTCATACTTGAGGTGGGCATACTGGATGTTGTTGGCAAGGGTATTCACAATGCAGCTCTCTTGGCACCAACAAGTGTGCTGAAACAACTATTGGATAGGCATGTTTATATACAGTGGAAGGCAGCCTCCTTGTATCTGTCACACATTGGTTCAAGTTTTACCCGCTAGAACTACTCGGAATATATAGGATCCCAGTTTCACATGGCAGCTCTTCAAATAATTGAAGAAAGTTATCATTGCCCTGCAGGGATATGGACCATCTTTCAGACTCAACATCACCACTTGCTCGAACACAAACTGACAGCCACATTCCTCACATGACATGTTTGTAGACACTTCACTATTCTGGTCACCCTCCTTTGGATGCACTTCAATTTGTCAATGTCTCCTTTTAAAATGTATTGAACACCCTATGACATTTCTGGAGCTTCTAGCAGAAATGGAACACCCTGAAAATAACAGTTAAGTTCTCTGGTTTGTGAAGAGTGACAAGACCTAAACTTAAATAAAATTTCTATTTCCTAAAAGTGGCCAGAGAAAGAACTATTAGAATATTAATGGATTAGAAATTCAACTCTAAGTCTAGTGGTGTTACAGAGTGGTGTTAAAGAGAGATTACCTACAATGTGTTGCCTGTACCCACAGACAACACTTTAGTGAGTCGTCTGCATTGTCCATTAAGTCTCCAAATTATTTAACTCTCTGAAAGGGTTGAAAATAACTTCTGGTCATGACTCTCCCCCAACCAAC